CGACTTTAGTGAAACCAACCGTTCCCTATCCGAAAGGGACACGCATCATGTGACGTATATGACTTGAGTGAAACCAACCGTTCCCTATCCGAAAGGGACACGGGTCATTTGACGTATACGACTTTAGTGAAACCAACCGTTCCCTGTCCGAAAGTGACACGCGTCATGTGACGTATATGACTTTAGTTAACTCAAACGCTCCCTGTTCGAAAGGGTCACGTGATGTATACGATTTTAGTGAAACCAACCGTTCCCTATCCGAAAGGGAAACGGGTCATTTGACAAATATGACTTTAGAAGGGACACGGGTCATTTGACGTATACGACTTTAGTGAAACCAACCGTTCCCTATCCGAAAGGGACACGCATCATGTGACGTATATGACTTGAGTGAAACCAACCGTTCCCTATCCGAAAGGGACACGGGTCATTTGAGGTATATGACTTTAGTTTACTCAAGCGCTCCCTGTTCGAAAGGGTCACGTGACGTATACGACTTTAGTGAAACCAACCGTTCCCTATCCGAAAGGGACATGCGTCATGTGACGTATATGACTTTAGTTAACTCAAACGCTCCCTGTTCGAAAGGGTCACGTGACGTATACGACTTGAGTGAAACCAACCGTTCCCTATCCGAAAGGGAAACGGGTCATTTGACGTATATGACTTTAGTGAAACCAACCGTTCCCTATCCGAAAGGGACACGGGTCATTTGACGTATACGACTTTAGTGAAACCAACCGTTCCCTATCCGAAAGGGACACGCGTCATGTGACGTATATGACTTGAGTGAAACCAACCGTTCCCTATCCGAAAGGGACACGGGTCATTTGACGTATACGACTTTAGTGAAACCAACCGTTCCCTATCCGAAAGGGACACGGGTCATGTGACGTACATATGACTTTAGTGAAACCAACCGTTCCCTATCCGAAAAGGACACGGGTCATTTGACGAAGGTGTCCATTCACTTCACCTATTTCTTTGGTAGAAGATAATTAAAAAGTAATTACTTTACTTGACTGGATTTTGTCAATAAGGTGACGTGGGCATGGAAGATGCCACTTTTGAATCATAAGGGGTTACCAAAACCTGAACAAATAAATACAGGATTGTCGTAATGGCTTATATCTTACATACACTGTTACAAACAAATACTGGGAGTGAGTTAAGTGAGGTAAAATTTAACGTCGAATCGGTATTATTTCAGCCATATTGCGAACAAATATAGAGTACTAAGTCATACAGTGAACGTGTCCTTTCATAGATGTAAGGCCTCGTGGGCATGCTGGGTTGGTCCAAGCTTGATAATACGGGTCTGAACAGTACCCTTGCATTTACCTGAATACTACATCTCCGGTTAGTATTCTTCTTGTTCAATTTATACTTATGTCCATCATAGTACGCAAACCTAGCTCCACGAATTTGTGGTATGACAGACCCTTCAATTTGCACATTAGCCATAGCGGTAATGAACTGACATCAATAAAAATATGTTATATAATAACTACATGTTATAACAGATTAGGTTCATATTATTCGGAGGCCAATAACATTCTCAATCAGTCTTATTCTCAATCATTGTCGATGGTATTAAAATAGATTAGGTTCATATTATTCGGAGGCCAATGACATTCTCAATCATTGTCGATGGTATTATAATAGATTAGGTTCATATTATTCGGGGGCCAATAACATTCTCAATCAGTCTTATTCTCAATCATTGTCGATGGTATTATAATAGATTAGGTTCATATTATTCGGAGGCCAATAACATTCTCAATCAGTCTTGTTCTCAATCCTTGTCGATGGTATTATAATAGATTAGGTTCATATTATTCGGAGGCCAGTAACATTCTCAATCAGTCTTATTCTCAATCATTGTACAATGGTATTATAATAGATGACATTCATATTAGTCGGGGGCCAATAACATTCTCAATCAGTCTTATTCTCAATCAATGTACAATAGTATTATAATAGATGAACTTCATATTACTTTGAGGCCAGTAACATACGTAAAACAATCAGTGCACCATGCAATTCCAATAGACAATGAACATGTAAAAAGTCAAGTCATGTAGTCAAGATTATACCAGTTTATACAGGAAAGCATAGCATGTGGGGCACGGGTGGCCCAGTCGTATAAGGCGCCGCGATTCGCTGGACACCCTTGGGCACGCCAGAAACCTATGATTGTGGGTTCGAATCCCGTTTGCCTCGATTATATTTCTAGGTTTGTCAGCACCATACCCGTGCCCATGCCCGTCTTTCCTCCCACATTAAGCTGACACTCTGTGATATAAGTGGAGTACTATTAAAAGCAGCGTTAATCCCAACTCACTCACTCACTCACTTCAGCAACCATGCTTGTCAAAGAGGCAACTAACGGATCTGTTGGTCAGGCTTGCTGACTTGGTTGATGTATGTCATCGTAACCCCATTGCCTGGATTGATGCATTCATCACCACTCCTGTGTTTTCGTAATCTAGGTCTGTATTCGGCTTGTTCTGGAAGGGGGCGATTTGTTCACGAATGGGTCGACGCTCATGATATCAGTCACTGGATTGTCAGGTCCATACTCGATTATTTGCAGACCACCATCATATAGCTGGGTGGCCTTAAACAGTTTATAGGTGATGTGGGCTTGGATTCTCTCAAGCGGTAATAGGTGATCCCGGAAATAGATCATCCGTAAAATATATAATGTGGGTGGGAACCGTGAGATAAATGCAACATTAGTGAAATCACCAGTTATCTGGTCAAAGGGAACACTATGTCAATGCTTTGTGCTTATTTAAAGTAGTGACACGGTTTTTTTAGATTACGGATTTCATCTGTTTCGACTTAATGACTGTTTATAGGTCTTCTCATTTGAGTCTATTGCAATAAGTCTAGCTTTGAAATGGGTTGATGAAAACCGTCATGAAGCAATAATATTCATGGACTCCATGGCAGATATTTAAACAAGTGAATCTGGTGTTATAGGATTCAAGTATGCAATTGTGATACTGTGTGGGTCCCATGCATGGTAATGACCTTTTGGCTAGGTTGGTTAAGACAGCTCTTGGGAGAACCAATATTGACATCACTGAGAATAACAATGTCCAAGAGACTTGATCCACACTATTTCCTCATCCTTGTACTGTGTGGCAAGCATTATGGGATAATGGCACTTCAAGTCTACATTTGCATTCTTTGCGCTCAGTGAAAAATCACCTTAAGTTTCGCAGGGGCAAAAATAGGGACGAGGTCATCCTTGCTATGGGCATTATAGGCTTTATGGATGCAAGTCCATTATTGATAAGGAAGTTGTTCCAATCTGTTCAAATTGTAAATTCATGTAACAAATTACCATTTCCTTTTGAAATTCCCAGCTCATATAAATTTTAGACACGACTGGTGGTGCATGATACGCTCACCTCTTCGCCTGTTCATGTTGTCATTTCATGTGATATATCTGTGGAACAAGTATACACTCAGAAAAAAAGAAAGAATTCATCTTCATGGATTTATTATTTTATAAAAACAATCCAAATACATTTACTGGCAACATTCTTAATCTTAATAACAATTAACAATCTTCTTAATGACTCATCAATACAATTACAAATAGTAATAAAAATACACATTTCAGAATACACAGTTATACCTCCAACCTAAATGAAACACCAGTAAAGCTAACAAAAGCTGAATAACAAAGTAGTTTTTAAAATCATTAGTGCTTGTTTGTCATTCACAATCTTATACTGTTGAAATCCTCACAAACAATTGCAAAGACGACGATTCATTTGTCACATTCAATGTGCCTCTTGGGGATTCTGGGTCAGAATAGGTCCCCTGCAATCCATACTGGATGTAAGATCTGCCTTATGAGTGAGTGAATATTTGCTGTTTCGCATTATTTCAGTCATAAATAATATAATGGCATTTGATGAACCCAGGATATCAAAAGTAGGTCCTTGAGTGAGTGAGTGAGTTTCATTTTACACCGCTTTTAGCAATATTCCAGCAATATCACGGCGGGGGACACCAGAAATGGGCTTCACACATTGTACCAATGTCGGAATCGAACCCGGGACTTCGGCGTGACGAGCGAACGCTTTAACCACCAGGCTACCTGACCGCCCTAAGTAGGTCTTTGACGTGACAAGCAAAACAATAATTATGAAGCTACCCTGTTGTCCCCAGAACAATGAGGATTTGGTTACAATGTGTGACTGTGATTGCCTGTCAATGTACTTGGACCAGCAGGATTCATTGCTCTGCTGTCAGCCACTGCCTGAACCAGACCTTCAAGGTGATGTCAGATCAAGTAAGTGAGTGAGTATGGTTTTACGCCGCTTTTTAGCAATATTCCAACAATATCATGGCAGGGGACACCAGAAATGGGCTTCACACATTGTACCTATGTCGGGAATGGAACCCGGGTCTTTGGCATGATGAGCGAATGCTTTAACTACAAGGCTACCCGACCGCCCCATGTCAGATCAAGAGGGTCAAACGCTTTGTAATGTTCCCGACAACCTGGCATTCAGGAACATTGCACCACATTAAATAGTTGATCCCAAACTGTGAAAGTATTGTAAAAGATTGTAATGAAATGACATCAAGAATACAACCTAACTTGACATGCACAAAATACTCCTATTTCCCTATCTAACATGTCTAATATCACATCTGGGTATACCCAAAGGCTAAGGTTCCCATCATATTGGAAAGCACCATGAAGAATTGTTCTCCAGTTTTTTGTTTGTTCATTTGTTGTTTAACGCCGCACTCAGCAATATTCCAGCTACATGATGGTAGTCTGTAAATAATTGAGTCTGGACCAGACAATCCAGTGACTGACATCATGAGCATCGATCCACGCAATGGGGATGCGATGACATGCATCAACCAAGTAATCGAGCCTGACCACCTGATCTTGTTAGTTCCTCTTACGACAAGCATAATCAGCTTTTACGAGCATGGTTGCTGAAGACCTATTCTTCCCCAGATCTTCACGGATTGTTCTTTAGTATTCATGCTTGTCGTAAGAGGCGACTAACAGGATTGAGTGGTCAGGTTTTTAAATACTTATCATGCACAGATGTATTTTTATTTTGTTCACATGTTACATGTATGGTAAATGTCTGGTTATTTTCGTCCCCTCTGACAATAATTCAGCATCCTTGGTATGCCTTGACAGGTGGGCTTCTGTGTAAACACTTCATTGAGATTGGTTTCATGCCACATTAAACAGTATTTCAGTTACATCAGGCCATTTCAGCTTGATGTGGAAGGAGAGCCTGAAGCAGGTCTAAGATGTTTACCGCAGGTATGGTGTTGATAAACCTAGAAACTTAGGAAGCTGGGAATCAAAGCCACGATCATAAGTTTCTGGGCTGCCTAAGGGACACAACTCTCCACAGCGAAATGTAGTGTCGTAGACAATTGGACCTCCGTTCCCCGATCTGAAGAGCCATATAGTCTCTATCATAACCATTATTAATTATTCAGTTATCAAAAAAAACATTATAAGTAGTAGCAGTATCACTCAGGTATAAGTGGTTTTATGAATCCCCGGTTTTATACAAGGAACGCATAAATCCACATGTACCCCAAGTGATACTGCTTCAACAAAAATTATATTACTTTAATATGACGTTAAAAGAATGAAAAAAAATTCAAAATTGATAGAACTTGTGCTATGTGAAGTGACTGTCATTGACTTGGAAAAAGCATGCAGCTTTTTACTTCGATGCGGAGTATGAGGGGTTTCTCCCTCTCAGAAATCCACATGCAGCCTGTCTTGTTCGTGGTCGGGTATAAGTGATTTATTCTCCTGCTGAAAAATTGATTTCCCATTAAGGCGGGATATAGTATTTTATCCAGATCACGTGAACCAATCAGATCTCATCATTCTGAGATGGAGGTATGATAAAAGCAGCTGTATTTGCCCTTGAGTATATCATGGATATTCATCTTGTAAAAATAATACTGCTCATATAATTCTCTTCATTAGAACAATCTCCTGAATACAATATGTTTATAACATATCATATGCACCAACTATGTTCCTGATTTTTGGTATGCTCAACCATATATTATCAATATGATGTCCAATTACTCAATAACAAAGGAATAAAGATATGGTAAATGGTACTCCATTATGTCAGGAAGGGTAATCACAATATTTCTTACTCTTGCCACAACCAATATAAGACTTGACAATTATAAAAACAGGATATCAAATTATTTGAAAACCTTGTTACCTATGCCTCAGGTCAAGGACCTCGCTTGGATGGAGCAAGTCGTGTAAAATAAGTACCAACAAACAACACACAAACAAACAGTTGTCATCTCATGACAAGTCAAATTCAAAGACAAAAATCACAGATACATAAAATAAAATAAAAAACAAATAATGTTACTGGCTACCAAACATTTAAATCTGAGAGGATGTGTCATGTATGTATGTCATTTGAAGGTTTTTTTCTAGGATTTCAAACTAAGTGCCCATGGCAGGCAAATTGAGAAACAATATTTTGTTCAAAATAGGGATTTTTTTAAAGTTCTTCTTTGCTTAATTTCAGAGGTCTGTAATATTGCATATTAACATTACATGTGATGCAAAAATGTAAGACGAAACATGAAAGCCTCTTTCTCCTCATTGGCCCTGTTATTGGTGAAATTCATATCACCTCTACCAAGTCTACAAGACATCACATGAGTTTTAACTATACAGTATATATGTATAAACATGAAAATAGAACTGCCTAATTCCTAACTTCTTTAAAAGGGATTTAGAAGTTGGAGTACTAAGTAAGGTTAAGATTTATGGATGAACAACTTCTTTATTAAAATTAGGAGCAACGTTTCAGTGTAGGTCCTAGCAAGTGTAGGTTCCAACACCATTTATCAAGGAAGTGCTTGCTTGATAACGGTGTTAGAACCTACACCGAAACGTCGCTCCTAATTGTAATAAAGCAGCTGTTCATCCATAAATCTTATCCTTACTTCCTAATTCAGGATTTCTGACATTTGCTACAGACAGGACAGGATATCAGCCTCTGAGCAGGTCTTGATAAAACACTGCATGTCATCACACACACCTGACCCACCTCTATAAGAATTCTGGGCCAGACTGAGGCCCAATGTTTGTAGTAAGAGACAACTATATGGGAATCAGGTGGTTACAAATACTGACTTGGATCACTGTGTGTCACAACAGATAACCTTGGATTGTTGTTCATGCTATCAACTACAGATTTAAAAATTATTACTGGCTCAATCCTGGCACCACCCCGCATAGATCACAAGTTGTGCCCCTTGTAATGAAGACTAGATATCCAATCAGATCGCTGTTCTTATCTCATATAGCCTCACAAAGATGGCAACTGCCATAGGCGACGACCTGGTCGATCAGATAACAAAAACATTCGCAATTTCATCCCTGACACAAAAACATAGGCAATCGTTTGCGGTGTTTAAAAGATGACAAAAAATATTTGTCTAAACAAAGACAGGCAGCGGTAAAACACTTTCATACGAAGATGTACAGTCGTGGATGTTGATTTTGTGAAATGTTCTCAGATTGGACAATCGATATGGACAATCGATATGTACAATAATCCAATCATATTTAGCACAGGAAAGTGGGCTTGATGTGGCAAGGGTGGAAACAAGACTTTGAAAAAAAGGCTAGTGGACGCTCTTGCCTTGGGAAGATGGTTAAGAGCATGCATTAACAGAATAACTACAATAACTTGACATGTGCATGAGTTAGACATAGGTAACACAAGCAAGCAATGTGTGTGCCATATTACAACATAGCAACAAGCAACAGGATAAGTTCATTTAATATACATATATATCTCAATCAACAAAATTATATACAAATCACTTTTCAATGTTTTATCCATAAATAGATGAATAAGTTGGTACTTTGGACTTGATTATTGGTAGAACCTCCTAGAAAATACAAAAGGAAATAACATGTTAAAATTCCCATCAAACATTGTTAAATACATGGTTCATTTGTGATTTCATACACTACCATTACTCAAAATACTTTGGAACTTTAAAAAGTTTGACTTGATGAAACAATATGGGTGATAAAATCATGACTTCAAAAGTCAGCATGCGATTTACTGGTTGTATAACACTCAGCAACTTGACATGAGTGTTTGTTTGCTGTTTTGACGCCACACTCAGCAATATTCCAGCTATATGACTGTGGTCTGTTAAAAATCAAGTCTGGACCAGACAATCCAGTGATTGACATCATTAACATAAATCTAAACAAATGGGATACGATGACATGCATCAACCAAGTAAGCGAGCCTGACCACCCGAGGCCGTTAGTTGCCTCTTATGACAAACTTAGTCGCCTCTTATGGCAAGCATGGGTTGCTGAAGACCTATTCTTCCCCAGATGTTCAAGGATTTGACATGAGTGAGTGAGGTGGGTTTAATGGTGTTTCAATAATATTATGGCATGTCAGCTAAATGTGGGAGAAATCCCTGAGGTGGGGTGAAATGGGCTGAACATCACATTAAGAAGCACTTATATAGTGACTTGTCTGCATGCATGTGGGGGTCTCCTCGCACTTGTCTGTACTACTACTATATTGTTTAAGAGTGCCAACCCACTAGGAAACCATCCAACTCAGATTCAGTGACTCCTGAGTTTTTACGCCTTTTATTATCCCTTTAATGCTGTAACCTAGGCAGGGTAAGAAGAAGTACCTTCTTTTAATGTGTTATGGTATGACAAGGCCAGAGGATCAAACCACCAACCTACCATCGACCATGGAGGCGGTCAGGAAAGACTTAAGTAACTACAGGTCAAAGACACTTTACAAACATAATGGTGACAGCCCAGGGTTCACAGTCAAAGCAAATCTGGGGTTTAAAAAAAAGCAGATCCTGCCCCAGTTAAAGGGATGCAATTATCGTGGGAGAATGTGGCACTTCAGACCCCAAAGGCAACCATGCCCCTTCACTGGCTAATTAATATCAAGTCATTACTCTAAAATGTTTAAGTAAGTAAACAAGAAAGCAAATGGTTTTATAGCCATGGTAACATGAAGGATGAAGGTTGTCATGTGTAAGCGCATCTCACCCTCCCTCCATTCTGCTCCAGTTGTTGTAGGATGTCTGTACACTTTTCTTTGTATTTTTTATCCATCATCTTTTTGGATACCTAAACATGAGAGAAATATCAAGTTAATTCAACATATTAATAAACATTTCTCACAAGAAATGAACGACTCACGGTCATTGTTTAATGTACAATAAAACACTGCAGGAAGAATAAACCTGGATGATGATAAAATGTACAAGCATTAAAAACGTGTTTTTAAATAATGATGACTAACTCAATAGAATCCAACATCGACAATGTTGGACAAGTACATTTTATGCACAGGTTGGAATTTCCCACATATTATCACAATCCTCATGTTGATTACCTGTACCTTTCCTCCCAATACCATGTATCCTATCTCTCCCACTTTTGGATGCAATCGTTTGGCCATTGCGTTTATCCCCAGCTACATCTATGGGGAACATCTCACTAGACAATCCCCTCTCCAAAATTATGTTTTCCAATATAAGACATCCTCAAGTTGCGAGAGCATGTTCGAACCCCTAGAAATGATGTCGTGATAGAAAAATGTTTTATCGTGAAATAAACCATGCTTCGTTCTTCATTGTTCTTTGCGATTTATCGCATAGCTTTCTTATATTATTATATAACATAAATGATATTTCTGCACATCTCCACTTGTAAATATATTTTTTCACAATTTTGACTGGATACCACCAACTTGTGATCAGTTGATTATAATAGATCTCATAAACATGATAAAGGACAATTTTGTAAAAGAGACCGAAGGTAACAAACATGTGGATTGATTGTTTATAGTTCCTGAATCAACAAGGAAAATTTGCAAAGATTGATGGACATACTGAAGCACATTTATATGGTTGACATCATATAACAGAGCTTAATTAACCTTACAGTTCTTCAAGAGGTGTAATATTCTTGCAGAAACTGAGTGTTAATCATTAAACTTCTTATCAATGTGTACATCGTCTGTGTTCATTCATAAAATAATGGTGTATTTATACTGCAGTGAAATGGTCATAAACAGTTCATTTCTAAATCACAACTTAAAATAATATGAGATAATATACAGCATCACCCTTGTGTACATTGATTCCATACATATGACTTTCATCCATTCTTGCCGATACACTTGCCATCAAAGGGGTCACTCTGAGAGCTCCTGTACACTAGGCTCTGTAATCTAATATCAGAAAGAAGGTTCACTCACTGGCATGAGCAGGTTTTTAAGGTGTGGATTCAGAGCTGGCCCCACGGAGTCACTTAGCTGCTGCAGGGCATCCAGAGATCTCTCAAACACACCTGCATCACTGTGAGCCTGAAACAGACAACATCTCACACATCCAATTACCTGTAATCACCTAAAGACTTTACTTCCAGAGCAGAATAATTAACATCATTCTTTGTAACATATGAGGGAATATCTTAAGTCATTTTAGACTTCAGAAATAAAAACAAATGATTCTCAGGTGTACAAGACAAACTACTTTTTAAATGTGTAAAGCGTATGACAGATGTACAGTCATGTCTGAATTCTTAAGTGAAGGGGAATGAGGGAGGGTTGACCTGGCATGCTAATTAGTCTGTTTAACATTGGCTGTACAAAAGAATCAAGCATTTTAGAATTGTGGTCATAATGCGAGCAAATACATGATATGACTGCAAAACATTTAAAACACATAATAATATTTTATATAATACTTTATATATTAGAAATGCTTCAATCAATAAAACAGTTGAGCGTTGTGTATATTGTGGCACTTAGCATTTTTAGAAACTGTGGTATCAATGAAGACAGGTTGATTTACGGACATCAACATCTATATTCCTTGAATTCAAAGGTTCAGTACAGCTACTAGTTGTAAATAAAGAATCAATTTGTGTGCATCATCATATTTGCTGTAATGTTTACCAGTGCTGCTCTGAGAGATGGTGCCAACTTTGGTAAGAGAGGAGCTGCCTTATCACCCGAGTCTTGGACTTCTAACAGCTCCTTAAATCCAGCACATGAGACAAATGTGTATGGGTGAACTGTTTCTCTCAAGCCCTGAAAAAAAAACAACCCAGAACCTGAGTAAGTTTCAAAAGTTTTAATTACACTTTGAACAGTATTTGCTATATATCACCGCATTCCAGATCCTGTTGGAAGCATGTCAGAGACATCTTGCATGGGAATGGTGCTGACAAACCAAGGCACATGTTCTGGGAAATCCGGATTTGAACCCACTATAGGTGGATTCTTGCCTGACAAACGGATGCAACTCTGGAAACGGAATACAAAAGCCTTAGATCACTGAGCCAAATGTGCCTCCCTCAACCATTGTCATGATTGTTGCGCAGTGGAATATTAACTATTAACAAAAATGCGAATTCCCTCACTGTTGTACATGTTGTATGCAGGGAATTAAACGTGACTATCTTGATATGATGAAATAATTCAGATAATAAATTCGGGAACTAAACGTGAATCTCTTCTAAAAAAAGATGAAGAAATGTAAATGTGACAAAAATAACTAAGTATGATTCTCAAAATCCATTGCTATCAATCTACCAGTCTAGCCCTATTTTGGCTTGCATTGCTGTGTCCTATTGTAACTAACATGTTCTACTACGTCCTATCTTGACAAGCTATAAAACGAAAAAAAATTCAATGAACGTCCTATCGTGACAACATCTCAAACCAAACTGACGAATATGTGTCCTATCGAGCCAAACTATCAAACCACAGTCACGAATCTACATCCTAATGCGACGACTTCTCAAAACCAAAGTGAACTTAACTCAAGTAAATCCGATGAATGATAAATAATATCCAATGATAAATAATGTGTCATGTTTATCAATGTACAGGCGATGCACAAACAGATGACAGACTATGCTCCATGCCATAAGCTCACTTGAAACTTCAGTTGAGCAGGATTGTATTGATATGCATCACTGTGGTCAAGATGCATTTAAAATCATTTGTGCAGTGATGTCCCTACCATTCCACCCAGGTTTACATCATACACATCTCTGCTCAAATGTGGTATATTTATTCCCCGACTAGTGGATCAATATGCATTCCAGTTATCATTCTCAACTCACTGGGCACTATACAACCCAAGCTGCCTGCAGCAGCAAGACAGGTTTTACATCTACATCACATATTAGGTACCGATTCCCTGCTGGGTGAACAGAGGCTCATTTGAACTACCGTATTCGACGTAATAAGCATCCCGCTCTAATAAGCGCCACGGCTATATTTGTTAATATATTGGCTAGTGAACAATCGCTATTAGCACCCCTTTCGATTGATCAATGTATACAATACTTATATCATGTATATATTCGTGTATAATAATGTGTTATATGCATTCTTAATTATGGGAAATTAAATTCTGGAAAAATATATCTGTCGTATATATATAAACATTTCAGGCTGTCAGCATAAACCACAAAATTTATGATCTTTCAACTCTGTTGTTTTTCACCAAAATAATATTCCGATAAGAGCCCCCTATTTCTAATTTTGAGAGCGCCCTGGGCTTTTATTATGTTGAATACGGTAAGCCACTTTCCCAGGGTGACATCACATGTTGTGAAACTTGTGTTTCACGAGTATGAATGTATTTGTGTTTCAACTATCTGGTCATCGACCATCAGATGAGTGGGTGTATGTACTGTACACTTGGGGACGTGACAACACCGGCAAGACCTGTAAACATTGTTGGTCCATAGTCTAAATAACAACTGGGTCACAAGCGGGATACGATCTCAGCACCTGGCACACCCGTTCTGCACCTAAAGGATCCCCAATGTTTCAGACTATTGATAATCACCTCTGCTAACGTGACTAGAACAGGGTCAAACTGTACATGTTCTGGGGAACTGTCCCACGCTATCTTGTGCTTCACACTGCCATGGACCAATCTGAAACAAAACAAGAACACACTGCCACAGTGACTAGGTTATTAACAACTTTGACAACGGTACACACAAGATACATGAGGGAACAATATAGGCACTGGGACACACAGGGAAAATAATGTCCCTTTTATTTCGATCCCCACAATATCCTAAAGATTACAGAAATCAGATAAACTGATTAAGTTGAAGTGAAATATAAACAAGCATGGTAAGTTCTAGGACTGGCACAAAAGATTGATAATCAGAACTATCGTTGATGGGAAGAAATATTAATGACTATCAATATGAAATTGTTGTCATCAATAATAACCTACATAACCTATATGAAATAAAGTTAAGATTTACCTATACAGACTTTTTATTTTCAGTAATGTCAATTGTCAAAGACGGAAAGCAACTGTTTTTGTTATATCTCAAACGTCCACAAAGTAATCCATGCATAAGTGTGTAACTGCTCACCAGTGGCGTGAAATATGTTGATTTCTTTCAGGACTTTCTTGCATATTTGTTACAGTTACTTATCAATATTGATCGATTAGCCAGCCCTAGTAAGTTCACTGGAGCATCAGAATCATTGACCTAAACTTCATTTGACATGGGTTAGTAGTATTCTGGGGTAGTTAGATTGGGTTTCTAAAAGACTAATCTTCAGATACAGGAGTCCATCAGTGGGTCCACAAGACTTTATTTGTGATGTCAAATCACATACAACTACATTATAATGATGGTACAGTAATAGCTAGGCAGCATCTTTGAGGCGTTAGTCAGCCAAATGGTGGCTGTCAGAGGGTCAAGTTTTGAGTCATATGAAACATACTACACAATTGAATTGTGATTGAAAAAGAAATCACCAACGAAAAATGGATTTATACCAGGTATCATTTTGTCGGTTTCATCGTTGTGTTGATGTGGAACTAATATATGAACTTGTGAGTGACAGCGGAAGAATGAAACTTGACACTTATTGATATTTCCAAAACCATGAACAAGTGCTTCAAATTCCTTAAATGAACGAAATAGAGAAACTCATGAGAGAAGTTAATTGTTAAAATGGCAGTCAACTGACACAATGGGGTTACACCGCAGTGACCGTCTCACCTGCATGGGAGGCCTCCACTGGAATACACTGAAGCGAAAGCTGACTGATTCTTCTTTGAATTGGCAAACTGCAAGAACAGTTTTCACAACATGATTTTTAATGTTAAAGAAGTTACATTTAAACATGATACTTTCAGATATATGTATTTTAGACACATTACAAGCATATCTGGTATGAGAGGGGGTACGAGTGAAGTCATACCGACTTGCTCGAACTCTTTTAAATTTGTAACTGTAACATCCAATGTGTTTCATACTTACAGGATCAACTGTTTTCGGGTTCAGTCGGTCTGATGGCCTGGACGGTTTCAGTGGTTTTCTTGCAGCATCAGCGTTAGGCCTACTGGCACTGGCTGATTTGTGGACTGGGACCTTTCCAGCACTTGTTGGTGGGGTACGAGAGCCCCTGGATCCTGCCGATCCATGTGAGCTAGTCCGGCCCTTCACACTACCAGAACTAGCCATCTTCACTTCTGAAGATGCAGTATTGTTACTTTGCAAAAAAATAAACACAAGGCCCAAGTATCAAATTCTCAGCAAATTTTGGTTTATCGTGGAGTGTCTTTCACTATCAGCATGGCAGCAGACACAACAGAAGATTCACTGTTATGAAAACAGATTTAAATGATAACGACATTTCACAATGTCAAATTGAATAAAAAATCATAAATCCGGGGGCATACACCGTGCCTATTTTCAAGTTTCAAAACATTGTATGGAGGCCGCCATTTTGACAGCTGTCACATTGTATCATGGGAAGGCGTACCTGCTTGTTGCTATGGCACGACTTGTCACTTCAGTGCGTAGAAATACATTATGAACATGACAATACAAAAGTTGAATACTAGAGAAAGTTAGGGAAAACATACATTTCCTTTCATCTCATCTAAAGATATTATCAACGTTTTCTCCCCATTTTAAAACTTGGCATTTTGCGAACAATATTTGTCTTCAATACATGGACTATTTATGTTGCGCATGAGTTTCCGGTTTTCCATCGCGTCTAACAACATGGCGTTCGCCATGAGAAAATGAGAACTTTGCAAGTGTTCAATGTGAAATGATGATACAATAATAAGTGACAACTATCATCAAGCCGTGAAAATGGACACAAGCATAAGAACACTTCTCGTTTCTGCCCAGAAATACGCAGGTAAACTTTATACAGTCTCAGCAAGACAACTTTGACACTGACAGCTGACACCGTGGCCAGGTGACAGAAGAAACGAGCACCTGCAACTTTTGCAGGGCTACCTTATCTAGACAAGGCTTGGTCTGAAATGATATTCTGACAAACAAACAAATGAATAAAACTTGCTCCTTCTGTAGATGATATGCAACATGACATTCTTTCTATCGTATGAAAATAGTAATTGGAATCTTTTGAAGTCAATATTTGTGATGATGGTTGCTCTTAGTCAAGAGACGCGATGGGGTCCAAAAGTCAAGACATGAACCTCACGGCCAAGAACACCATCTTCATAAATCCTATTCAGACTTTGGTTGCCAGTTACTCTCATATTTTTCTGAGATTTTAAAATAAATATTTCCTTTGGTTTTGTGACTGTTCTCCCGGATAATTTCCCCTACTCCCAGATAATTTCCCCTATCTATACACATACTTGTCAGAATTTTATTACCACAACTTGAGCTAATAACAGACCGGTAACCCATTCACTTCATGTTTCAACGGATTGCAAGCTGACATGTTGACATGGTGTGCGTATTCGCTAGATTTGTCAAAACCGCATTATTGTCGGTTCGAGAAGGGAGCTAACTCTGTTTGCCTAATCAAAAGTTTGAGGTGGGCCCACATTCGAAACTAAACGCACTTGTTGTTGAGAATATGTACTATGTAAACAAACCCACAATACAGACTGCTATTTTGTCTATTTAAAATAAGTATTATGACTTATAATTGGATTAGAATGTACAAATGCGATGACAATACAGCAGAACTCACTTCTACGAACATCGCCAAACTAGGTCGTGGGGTCATTGATATTCATGAGTTATTCCTTTTATGGAACAAGTTCTCGGAAAAGTTTGAGGCTTGTATCATGTCCGAGATCAAGTCAAATGGAGACATATTTTCAGGCTTATATCGCCACCAAAACTTATGATTAGATTGATGTGTTATACTGGAAAAAGTAGCATGAATGGTATTGCCTCTGTAAATTTAATTTAAAGTAGATCTAAGTTTCTTGCTTTGTAACTATTTTTGCAAACCTATTGTGGTCAGCTATGATGACTTTATTCAATCTTCCAAGAATTTGTGTGCCTTTTGTGGAATTAACGTCAAACTATATAATTTATATAGATATTTCCCATCAATATTACAAAATGAGAATAATATATAATGTCACATACCCATGCAAAGTAATCACAAATGTGAGCCCACTAGCCTAAATGACTTAGTCAACTCAATGAAGCCCAGCGATTTACAAACATGGGCCCACCTGTTTCGATCACTATAAGACAGGAACAATGTAGGCCCACATTTTAGAAAATGGTTATAAGTAAGCCAAGCTAATGAAGCTTAGTGATTATAAATGTGGTCCCTCCTGTTGCAATCACTATGACGGAAGAACGATATACAAATGTGGGCCCACTTGTTTCGATCACAATATATGATTGGAACAATGTGGGCCCACATTTGAGAAAATGATTATCAATATTTAAGTAGAATTTCGCGATTAATAAATGTGGTCCCTCCTGTTGCAATCAACATGACGGAAGAACATCTGCCGACATTTAGGAATTGATTTTCAGAACTAACAAAACAACCTAACGAAGCTAGGCGATATACAAATGTGGGCCCACTTGTTTTGATCACCATAGATGACGGGTAAAATGTCTGCCCACATTTTAGAAAATGGTTATCAGCACTAAACCAATCTTAGAATATGTACGGATGGAAACGTAAATATATAATTGATTAAACTATTTAATTAAGAATACATTTTACCTTAGGGATAAGCTGGGCATTTAATAGCTGGACCAACAACGTACAGCGTGGGTGACACCATTTCTCACAAATACTAAAAACAAGTGAGATAGCTCCCGTTTGAAATGAGAGTGACCTCCCTTTCCCAATATGAACCACTGATAAGGCGGTTTCGCCCTATATTTCAATAATCTGTTTCTGCATGGGTTTTCCACGAGCTGTAGAGTTTATGCATAGGTGGTTCCTGCATTAGATCAATAAATAGGGATGTGTAAGATATCGGGGTATGCAGGCTCAAAGACTACATTGGGTAATTACACAAAGTGATGTACTATTGTTATTTAGAAAAATATCCATACATTGGCCCTATTTGTATGCAAGCAACTCCATATTAATTGGGTTATGGTGATATATTTTGCACATTTTATGCAAATTTTAACTGTGCTCTGCTGACTGGCCAATCACAATATTGTAATGACGATAGAAAGGACAAGTAAGGATTTTAAACCCCTCAACTATCTGTCTGTGTGAATGCACGGCAAACCAGCTAATAAAATATGATGCTTCTCAGTATGATGAGACATTTAACTATCTCAACTCAAATGGAATAAAATCTATTTTAGAAAAATAAACTTGAAAAAAAACCTATCTTAACTGTATCACAATAGTAAGTTGATTGAACCGTTTTGGGCAGGTATGAAAAAATAACATACTGGGTTTTGACTGTTTCACGAGTTGTCCGACCAAAAGTTTCGGGGCTTCTTTGAATGCATATTCCAGTTCTTGTTGCCGTCATAATGACAATGTGTTTTAACAGTGCTTAACATCTTTATCTTCAAAATAGGAACAGAGAGGAACCCCAAACTTACACAAGCTTATAACCTCTTGCGGAATGTTGCTGAAACAAGGCCAGCTGTGGATACCCCGGAACCGTTTGGCTGTGATCTGTATGTTCTCTGTGCTGAGATTGCCTTCCAGAATGGCTCACCAGACATGGCCAAGGAATGTCTGAAGATGTTCTTCATGAAGCCTCCACCACCAAACCAGTTCCTGTGTCGAGCATACTTATGTCAGGCTCAGCTCCTTGCTCCGCAGAATGCAAACAATCCAGTGAGTGCTTTAATCATGTTAAACATAAGACACAGTGGGGTTTTCCTGGGGGTCCATTCAATGGAATTACAGTACCCAATGCTTGTCATATAGGGGCGGTCGGGTAGCCTAGTGGTTAAAGCGTTCGCTCCTCACGCCGAAAACCTGGGTTTGACTCATGACATGGGTACAATATATATGTGAAGCCAATTTCTGGTGTCCCCGCCGTGATATTGCTGGAATATTGCTAAAAGCGGCGTAAAACCACACTTATTCCCTCACCTGTCATAGAAGTTGACCAATCAGGAGACCCATGAAGATCTGGGGAAGAATAGGTCTTCATCAACCCATGCTTGCCGTAAAAGGCGACTATGCTTGTCATAAGAGGCGACTAATTTGATTGGGTGGTCAGGCTTGCTGACTTGGTTGATGCATGACATTGTATCCCAACTGCGTGGATTGATGCTCATGATGTCAATCACTGGATTGTCTGGTCCCGACTCGATTATTTACAGACCACTGTCATATAACTGAAATATTGCTGAGTGAGGTGTTAAACAACAAACAAACTAATCAGGATGCATTGATTTCTATAATGTAGCCTTAAAGTAGGTTTATACATGTATATACTATTGCATTAGTTGACAACTATCACAATAATATTGCAAGTGTGGGTACAATAGCAAATTAACTATCGCAGTTGTTGAGTTGTTCAATGTATCTGAGCTCAATAGTTGTTAAAACTTCATGGATGTCTTTTTGAACCTCTATAGCTTATGTGGTTTGCATATGTCTATCATAACTTAAATCTACTAAACAAGTCCCCTCAACCACCTGACAGCCAGTGTGACATCCTCACAGCTAATGTTTTTAATTTTTCTTGAATGTTTGAGATTACTGAGTGCTAGTGTATGATATCTTCTCTCCAGAGTAATTGCTGTGTTTGAAAATAAGTATGAACATCAAGGGTGATAACCCTAATCTATGAACATCAAGGGTGATAACCCTAATCTATGAACATCAAGGGTGATAACCCTGATCATGCAAAGGTTTGATGAGACTCCAAGGACCCCTGATTTACCCCTGAATTTATAACACAGAATTGTATCTGGCAATCTTTTCTTATTTAGTGATCAGCCGTGTGACAGACTGCCACACCATCCACTGAAGTTTAAGCTCTTCTACCTCTTTTTAATCCTTGAGTTGCTTAAATGTGAGTGATTTGACAGAAAAGTGGAATGTTCAATCAGAAAACTGTTCATATCTTGTTTCCACACATCCTGCCCATAGTTCTATTTGTAATGGAATTAATACATACATTTTTTTAACTTATCCTATCTGACATTATGCATTTCTCCTTTTGTCGATCCTCAGTGGAGAACAAAAGGTTTCCGTCTGTCTTCAGTACGTCTGTATCTATGCTTCCATTGGAGCAACCAGCAGCCTCAGTTGTTTGCATGGTTCTCTACAAAGACATTTCATTCATGCCAGCCTTGACAGCACCAATCGCCGACCCAGCTATGCGCTCACAGATCGTCAGCCGATACCCTGCTTCTTCACGTGATGTTGGCGTTATCGATTCTTTCACTTCGGCTTAAGACACAGTCGCTCCCATTTCGACTTGACATATACGCATGCACCCATAATCAATTGTCTGTGTTCGCAGCCACCAACCTCATCCGAGATTCACTGTTTCTCGGATCAAATTTTCTTGCGATCGATGCCTAAAGGAC